AGTGCTGGACTAGGCCGCTGGGCCTGCTGCGAGTGCTGGACTAGGCCCCCGGGCAGGGGGTTAACGCTTTGTTACCCTGGGGAAAGGGAGCGGAGGCGGGTGGTACCCCGCCACAGGAGGTCATCAAGTCCAACCCCCTGCCCAAAGTAGGACCAACCCCAACTAAATCAACCCAGCCAGGGCTTTGTCAAGCGAAGACTTAAAACCTCTAGGGATGGAGATTCCACCACCTCTCTAGGGAACCCATTCTAGTGTGTCATCACCCTCCTAGGCAAATAGTTATTCCTAATATCCAACCTAGACCTCTCCCATTGCCCCTTGAGTCCATGGCTCCTCATTTTGTCATTTGTCACCACAGCCTCTCTCCATCCTCTTTGGAAACCCCTTTCAGGTAGCTGGAGGCTGCTACCAAATCTCCAAATACAAACAAAAGTGGTCAGGAAATTTTCAGTGAAACCTTTTTCAGTCTGAAAATGCAACTTTGTCACCAGAAGGAAATTTGTGGAGACGTATCGTTCCCAACAAAAAACTCATTGGGAAGGCTTCTTAGGATGAACTTCTCATCAAAACCAGAAACAAGAAGAGAGCCCCTAGAATAACCCCAAAGCCCAGTGGTTAGGGCACCTCCCTAGGTCACAGCAGGAACTTCACTCCAGGTTAGCCCTAGTGAAAAGCTCCCAGTGCACAATGAGTAAAATTAACCCTTCTCCAGCGCTAGTCCCACAGGGACATTGAACAGTTATCAGTCAAGCTGTAAAGTCTCGTCTTGATTAGAGATGTTGGTTTTATTGGTATGCATTTGAGTATTTAAACTGTTTTAGTTACAATAAGATAAAGGACCAGGTCTGCTTAGATTTGGATGAGACCAAAAATTGAAACAAATTCCATCAAAGCTGTAGTGCATCACCTGGTGTCCCAGGGAACACCACAAATGGCTTCAGTTTGATTCCAAACCAGTACTCGCCTTGCTCAAAAAACTTCCACACATAGTAGCAAACCCTGTGGAGGAGACCAAGCTGTGCTGTGAATTGGGAATGAAAGTCTGGCATCTGGTTTCATGTTTAGCAATGAAAGTTCCACAGCGCTCTATTCTCTAGCCAGAGTAATTATCCCCAAGCAGACTAAAGTGTCCCATAGAGGCCCCCATTCCCCTTCTATAAATATGCTTTTGATTTAAGGAATTATGAAATCTGGAAGCCTTACAGTCATCTACTGTGCATTTAAAGGGAAAACAAAGTCGCTTTTGCAATTACCATTCCCTAAGAACTTTAGGCTCCACATTTTTCCGTTAACAATGCGGGGATCATAGTTACACATTTATTAAGAAGAGGCCACTTACATTCATCTCTGCACAGATACAGTGTCTGTGGCTGTGTTTAATTAGAGATTAAAGCCGAGGTATTGAATAACCAGGGCTGCTAATGAATTAGGAAGCTCAGCACAGCCAAGAGAGCTGAAGATTTCTCAGCTTTGCTTGGCTCTAGTCTTCCCACCTCTCCATTGCTGCATCCCATCTCTTTGCTCAGGAACTTGTTGACTGGCTGGAGCTAAAACAGCACCAGCCATTTCTTACCCCCCAGCGGTCTAAGAGAAAACAGAAAGCTTTAACAGACTAGTCCTCCTGCATCTGAAGACGCCTTGCCAATGGGATTTACAGGGTGCAGAGTCTTTTGAAGTTATACAGAGGGAGACTCATGGTTGGGCAAACCACCAGCAAGCCCTGTGCTTGCTTCAGCAATGTAAATCCAGCTCATGAATATCACTTATCCACAGTGATAAGCAAAAAACCCTGGGTGTTGTGACACCCCACCACCCCCTGAACTCTACCAGCTTTCAAGGTTCTAACAAGTCTGTTCAACTTTCACACCCCCCATGGTTCTTCACACCTCAGACTGTCCGTTCTTCCAGCTGGGATTCAAAGCCCAAGCCTCAGGATCCGCAGCAAAGGTTGTGTATGTGGCTTTTATGAAGGAAGATGGGTCCAGTGATTTGGGTGCCAACCTTGGACCCAGGTTCAATTCGCTGCTCTGCCACAAACTCTCTGTGTAACCTTTCATGAGTCAGTTAGGCCTAGTCATCATTAGGAAACGTAGTATGTTCTTACCTAGTATGTTCTTACCCCAGCTTAGTTAACGAGGCAAAAACCCTTATGAAAACATGACAGTGGTAGTTCTCATAAGAAACCACACTAATGCCAACCCTGCAACTTTCCCTTACAACAAACCCCGTTGCCAGCTTTGTCCACATATTTACTCTGCTGACACCGTCATTGGACCTAACCGTGTCAGTTACAAGATCAAGAACACACATTCCTGTTCATCCAGAAATATAATTTATGCCATCATATGCCAACAGTGTCCGTCTGCTATGTATATTGGACACACTTCTCAGACACCTCGCCAAAGAATCAATGCACACAAAACAGACATCAGACAGTTTCATAAAGAAAAAACAGTTTCTTGCCATTTCAACCAGGCTGGGCATTGTCTCAATGACCTCACTACATGCATCCTGCTTCAAAGAGACTTTAACACCAGACTACAAAGGGAAGCCTCAGAACTGTCATTCATGCTTAAATTTGACACTTTACGAATGGGCCTTAACAGAGATGCTAATTATCTTACCCATTACAAAGACAGCTTCCCCAATTATCAACCCTAATATCATTATCTCATAGACACTAACCTCTCCCCCTCACCCACCCCCCACCCCCGTCTCTTCTAAAATCTGATTTGTCAATTTTATGTGTGTTCACCTTTTTTTGATTGTATCCCTTTGGTATATATGGTCATGCCAATTTTCTTCCACAATTTGATCTGAGGAAGTGGGTCTGGCCCACGAAAGCTCATCACCTAATAAACCATCTTGTTAGTCTTTAAAGTGCTACATAGTCCTTTCTTTTGTTTCAGCTACACCAGACTAACACGGCTACATCTCAATTACTGTAGTTCTCACAAGAGTTAGCAGAACAAAGTGAATCTGAAGCTCTTGCATAGTCCTTTCCTCAACTTACTTTCATGAGTAAAAACTACAAACTGCCTTATCTTCAGTAGGATTTTACCAGAAGTTAGTTAGCATGAGACAAGGACACCCCTTTTTCACTAGGAAGAAGACACATGCTTAGTCTCGCAATGCCTCTTTCCCCATCTATGTAACAGGTATAGCAGCACTACCCTCAGTGTTGAGAAGATAAAGACATTAAAGATTGTGAGGTGATCAGACATTACAATAATGGAAACCTTCTAACTACCCAAGAAAATTATGTAACGACGTGGTGCTAGACTCTCCCCAGGAGAAGTCTATTCCCCCAAGGAGAAGGCAGGGAATTATTCACAGTAGCTTCTATCTGACAGAATTCTTGGCTATTATCCATCTGTCTGTCGCTGCTACATCACAGAGAAGTGCTATTTCTCTGTACTTGCCTCAGTGGGCTAGCTTCCTACCCAAAGTCAACCTGGGCCTCTTCAGAACACCTCCACACACTAACCCTGTGGAACATAAGGAAAGTGGCCACTGACACATGCATTTTGGGGACGGTTGGTAGGGTGCAACTACGACAAAAG